CCCCAAAACCCCAAAACCCCATGAATATTTCCAATTATAAACATTCGAAAATCAGAAAATAAAATAATAGCAATACATATTGAGTTGGAATTGTAAAATTAACTTCGATAAATTTAATAATTTGGAAATGAACTCCGTTTTAACGTGTGATAGATGCGAAGAAAAGTTTAATGAAGAGTAAAGAGCTCCTGTTGTCCTTCCAGATTGTGGACATACATTTTGTGAATTCTGTATTGCTGATCTCCTATCTGAAATTGAAAAGTACTGTCCTTCTTGCGGAGCAGAAATAAAGACAACTGATGCATCTAAATATACAAAGAATTAGAAATTACTAGCTCTACTAAGAGCTGAAGATTCAGAGTTTCATGATAATTAAGACTTTGTATCTTGTCCCAGACATGCAAATAAGAGTATAGAATATTTTTGCAAACAATGCTCTGGTACAGTATGCGTTAAATGTATGTTTGATGAACACAATGGCCACGACTTAGTATAAATAGAGGAAATGGCTAGCAGCTTGAAATAAAATGTTCTCGATCTGCAAAAAATGCTGGTGAACGCCCACAGGCTTAACGAGGAAAACACAAAATTGATTGAATAAGTGAAAGAAGAATTAAACAGATTGAAGTTTTAATAGATGAAAAATATAGATAAAGGCTTCACTGAACTAGCGAAAAAACTAGAAGACAAAAAAACAGAAATAAAATTGGAATTCGAAAAGTAAGTTTCCCTCTTTTCCGATTTAGAATTTTACATCAGCATATGTATAAATAATTTAAATCGACTTTTAATGGCTTTTATTTAGGAGATACAAAAAAGAGGAACAAAAGTTTATGACAAAGATGTCATAGATTAATACTAATTTAGAAGAAATTAAAAATATAGAGAGAATCTTTGAGGAACTTCTTTAATTCATTGATAACAATATAGATTCTAAGATTTTACAAAAAGCCAATGATGTGACAACATTCTTGCATAAGTCATTTACTGATTTGGATTTAATTACAAAGAATTAGATATCGTAAAAGAGTGAAATATACATACATCCAAGCTTTAAACCTCTGACCTTGAATGTCAAAAAGGCTATAGAAATCGTGAATAAATTTGAGATGATTCCACCATCAGGGGCTGCTGGAAGTGCTAAAGTTTAAAGATCTCCTTAATAGGTAAAAGGACTAATTGGAAGCGGATCACTAGCGAATGGATATAACAGTGGAGGTGAAGGTGGCAGTGTTGGAGGTATAGAGATAGATCCATTGACATAAATTCCATATTATGATCCTACTAAGAATCAATCAAAATCAGCTAAAAGTCTATACGGTGGCTCACAAGGCAATCCAGTAGGAGCAACAAGAGCTCTGGGACCACCTATGGCTCCTCACAGAAGATTAGGAGGAGCAGGATCATTGGGAGAGAGAAATGGATCGATAGCAGGATCTGAAAATGTATTCAGCAGTATAGTTTGCTTTGGAGATCATGAGGAGATTCTAAAATTCAATCTTGAGAGTTAAAGATGGGAAAAGGTTAAGTATGATAGCGGATCTACATTTACAGGAAATTTAAGATACTCTGGATCAGCATATACCCCTGATGGGCGAATTATAATTACTGGAGGTTGTCTTATTTCAACTTCAGATGCCTCTAATATTGTATACGAAACAAACATACAAAAGCCATAGAAGTTCGCCAGAAAGAAGGTTATGCAGAATAGAAGATATGGACATGGATGTGTAGCGCTAAATGGCTATGTATATGTCTTAGGTGGATTTGACAATAAAGATGCTGATGGAGTTGCTCCTAATACATTAGACTCTGTTGAAAGGTATTCAATTCATGAAAACAGGTGGACTCAAAACTGCTCAATGAGTGATGGTCGAGCGTTTTTTGGGGTAGTTCCTATTGGGGAATAGTTCATCTATGTAATGGGAGGCTTTTAGGACTATCTCGTGTTAAGCTCAATAGAGAAATATGATTCAGTCTTGGATAATTGGATGACACTAAATATAAAGCTACCTGTGGGGTTAGCTAAAATGGGAGTTACTGCCACAGATGGTCAAAGATAAATAGCAATAGTAGGAGGCATGAATCCATAGTTCTTGAGACAAAAATCATTATATTTATTCGATATGAAAACTATGAAATTTTAAACCTGTGCTGAAATGAGAATAGCTAAAACATTCAATTAGTAAGTACATTTCCATGAAGGCTTAATATATGCCTTTGGAGGTAATGAGAAGGATGCTTGTGAAAGATTTGATACTTACTAAAATAAATGGGAGGTCATTTCAAGCTATGGGGAAATGATAAATTCCAAGATTTGCAACGAGCTTAACGGCTGGACTCAAATTTATTGTCCAATTACACCTTAATTAGTACCTTTATGAAATTATAATAAAGCTAGTAGATACATTCATAAATTTTATAACCTAAGTATGCTTACTTCACTCGTGGGAAAGTATTTATTTAATTTTCATAATTTTCTAAGAATTCTTTATAACTTTTATTTTTCACTGTGGGGTTTTGGGGTTTTGGGGTTTTGGGG